GAAATCTACAGGGATATTTTTCCACACCTCTAGTTCAGTGTTATACATTGGTTTCATTTTCTGTAAGTAATGCCAAATACATTCAGTGATGTTGAGGCCTGGGCTCTGTCCAGTTTCAGTGTTCTAGTGCAGATGTTTATCTTTTTTTTTTTCCAGTAAGCTTTTCTCAGTAAGGGCTTCCTGACAGCTACACATCCTTTCAGTCCCATAATGTTATCCTCTCACAGTGGAAGAATCTCCTCAGAAATATCCCCTTTAGCCATTTTAGATGCACATGAGAGCGAAATTTGTATGCCAGCTAAGGTTGCTTGTGTGAAAGTTGAATGGAAACATAATGTCAATGAATGGAGACAGCTTTTGTTGGGAGGACACAGCTGTAACATGTTGGTTTTAAGATTGAAAGCTTGGAATAGTTCAGTTGCAAGTAAAGTGCACAAAAGCAAAGAGTGGACAAATGAAATACTGGTATTATACTCTTTGATATTATACTGTTGGCGTGTAGTGGAGGCAGTTTTCTGCACGGCACTTTACATATATAAAATTATTCTGATTCTACTCTGCACTTTCAAATAATTAGGGGTCAAGTAATTTGTAGGAAGCTATACATGAGTAAGAAGTGCTAGATGTGTCCAGAATGATGAACAGATCCATAGATGATTCCATAATGACTGCATATATTATTTATAACTTTGAGAATGAAGTAATACTAAAATTAAAATCCAGTATGTGTTTCGAGGGTCATGATCAAATGTCACAGAAGGTAACTTGACAAGAAATTACTGTAAACGTGTAATTACTGTATATTATTTATCCTTTAAAAACGTCTTCTTTTTGTTCTTGTTGGTCCCAAAACTTGAAATCTAGAATAAACCCTCTCAAATGCGTCATGGGGTCTGTTTTAGTCTTTCTCTGTATAACGCTATATAGATTATTTAATATAGGTTACTGAATGAACACTTTTGAAAAGTAGTGTATGTCAGCTACTTCACTTAACTGTGGAAATACATGCATTGTAAATGTTTGTCCACTCCACAAATACTCATTTTGTCAGAAAGCCTTTAACATTAGATCATTTTAAAAACACTACCATGATATGATAAGACTGATGTAGTTTCTGACATGGAGTAATCTAATCAAATTCTTGGCACATCTCCCCAGTTGGCTGATTCTTACATTTTGATTCAGGTGTGGTTATGGAAACGCTGCTAATGTTTGAAAAATGTAATTAGCATAAATTCACAGTTCTGCTGAATATCTGAATAAAATATTTCCCTGTTACAGTAGAATCACTATAATTGGATGCAGCTAATGACTTACCTCTGATAACTGTTTTTTACAAAATGTATTTCATTTGAGTGTCAAGAAAGAGAAAGTACCGCTTCCACAAAGTGCTACGAGTCTCTGTAATGGTATGTGAAAGGTCAAACCACTGCATACTTTTCTTTATACCTTCTCTTTCTTACTCCAAATCTTAACACTAGCAAATCTGTGATGAACTTCTGTTGTGCACAGAGAAGTAGGATTTTCAAATGGTCAGTTTTGGCGTGTTGCGGTCACTCTCTCTGCTCAATTCCATATAACAAAACCAAACTAAAATGGCTTGAGTTTCATTGTGAGTCTGTAGTTAATTATAGGAAACTTTTTTTTTTCCTCTGAGCTCCTGGTGCTTTTTGCTTGTCATTATCTCCACACACAACCTAGCACAGCCTGAGCCAAGAAAAATAAACTATTTTTTTTAAAATGTTTCATATTCATGTTCATATTCATATTGAAAACTTCCTTTTGTGCATAGCTTTTAACCACAGTAGCATAATGCTAATTTCTGCTAGCGCCTTTATGGAATTCACCTATATGTTAGCATCAAGCTAGCAGTGCTGTTTGTTCACTTTGCCACAGAGGGTTTAAAGCATCTTATGGCAGCTGAAGACTGACGTTTGAAGCTTGTAAGATTTGCATGTATCATTTTACTTTGTATTTCAGAGTATTTAGAGAATCATTCAGTAAATAAGTTACTTAAGCCTAAAGCCTCACATTCTCTCTTGAAAGTCTGTTACCCTGTTAGCTTTCTGCTGAGCTGACTGTTAAAAGGTGTTCTTATGTAGGGCTTGTTTATTATGTTTTTAAACTTCTTTCTTCTCTCGATATCCATATATTTGAATAACCAAGCTCATCTTTAGTTTTGTCCGTATCTGTGTTCTCTTGTAAGGTTGGGTTTGTGTGAAGCACTTGGGCCATGCTTGAAAACAAACGGCACTGTTACGTTTGACACGGGCCGTCAATTAAGCAGTACTCATGAATACGCAATATGTTGAGAGTCATGCCCACAATGAGAAATGGAAAACGTTGACAATGAATGGAATTGTAATGCCCTTTCTGGAAGAAGTTTGGAAGATGACTGAAATGTCTGAAATAATGTGACGAAATCTTTACCGTTGTTTCTGATTTGCTGATCAGGTCTACTAAATGTGGTACAATGACTAGTATAAACCTTGGTGAAAACATTGTTATACATCAATAATAATCTGTTCAACCACATTATCTCATTATCGCACTTCATGGAAACTGAGCCACTGCAGACATGTTCTTGTTAACTTGAGCGAGTTTTTCTCGCAGAGATTCCCTTTTTATCTCTTCTCGCTCTGATAAGTCCGGCTGGTGTAGAAGAAGCCCTGTCTGAGGTACGTGGTGCTGAAAGACAGGCAGCGGCTGCCATTTTCTGAGCGTCTGCAGCGCGCCATATGCAGCAGTAGAGGCAGCTCTGCAGCTCTGTCCTTTTTTTCTTTCTCACCCTGCGTTCCTCAACCAGCTCTGGCTGCGTTCCCTCCTCCTGGATGTTTTATCATTAGCGAGGGGAAGTGTTCCTGGGCTCCCGCCGAGCTCTTTTTGATGGAGTGCGGACAACAAAGCGGGGAGGGGAGACAGCCAGCCAATTTCCCTCACCACAGATGTTAACACAGTGGTATCTGTCTGGACGCGCCGGGCAAACAGTGGCACTGCCCGCGTCACTTTTCACGCCTGTTATCTCAGCGGCAAACAACGCCACCCCCCCCCCAAAAACCGGTCCACAGACACCCCCCACCCTCTCACTCACCCACCTACCTCCCTCACACCCTCCCATTCCATTTTGCTCATTTCATTAACGTCCGCCTGTTTGTCTCTGGGTGAAAAATCCTGATCGGTTTGCTCTGCGAGTGGATACAGTTCCAGGCATCAGAGCAGCATGCTAAAGCTATTACCGCTAGCACTGCCCCGGGTCTTATCAATACCACCCCCCTCTGCACTCACTCACTCATGCTGCATGCAGAACAGCAGCTCAAAAGCAGGGAGGGATATGCAAAAAAAGGACAAAATGCTCTCTAACTGTCCGTGATCCCTGCAGTCTGTCGGTGGTGCCATCATTTGGTGTTGTGGGCCTCCATTTCTCCATTTCTCCATTTTCTTGTTTCTTTTAAATTCTTTTTTACATATTTATACTTCTATTGAAACATCTGCCCCATCTTCATTTCATGTCATTATTCTTTTTGTTGATTTTTTTTAGTTTTGCCCATTCTTACAAGCTTACATTGTTTGCTTTAGCTCCTTCTTATAAGCTCACAGTTTAGATGTAGATGTAGTGTAATGGTATACTTACTTACAGCATCTTTTAGCCTACATACACAATACTTACATTGCTTGCTGAGAGACAGGATGTGTTACTTGGCAGGAGATTAACTGCACTATGAAGTGCTTATCATATACTGTATATATCCTTTATATAGAACAGCAGAGCCACACAAGATACCTTGGCAAGAGGAATCATCTCAAATGTAGTCAACATGTGTAATATTTCTCAGTATTAGGTTTTGCATGTTCAAAAACAGCCATTCACAAAAACTAGAACAAATGTATTAAAAATGAAATGTGTATATTAGGACAAAAAATCTGCCAATGGGCTAAGCAAAATTTATTTTGTAAGATTTCTTGAAAAAAGGCATAATGCCCAAATAATTTATACATACCTTAATTATATACATTATTATTAATTATTTATAGAACATGTCTTTTTCCCTCCTTCAAGTCTTGGTAAGACTAAATTACTAGTAATCTCAGACTGAAGTGAAGTGAAGTGAAGTCAAAATAAAGCTTTTATCTTTCATTAACTTCAGATCACAAAGTCTCATGTTAAACCCCTAAACCCAGAACTACAGAGGATTTCAAATAACGTTAAATACAGTTTCAAAATTTTTGAAATAAGACAATGTAAGAGAGCTACTTCTTGAAAAAGTGAAAAAGCTCTGATATCATAACTATATACAAAAATCATAATAACTTAAGTGCTCTTTGTGCTTGTTTCATACCATAAAATACAAGTGATCTTAACAGGTAAATATGTTAAATAATGTTAATTGGCTTGATAAAAGATCTTTTCACTTGCTAAGATTTTAGTTTTGCAGTGCAGGAATATTATAAGTTTATTTTATTTATTTCTATAGGTTTTAATGTAAGTAATGTTATTCGGTGATCTGCATTAACCTGTGAAAGAAGCAAAATTGCCAGTGGAATCATTTCGCTGGATAAAATGAAAGATTAAAACGAGTAAAATACATCTAGAAATTGGTTGGATAATCTTACAGTATTCTTACTTTATTTCATAACATAATAAATAATAAAGTTAATAAAGTTACAAAAAGAGAAACATTAAATGTACTGACCGGATATAAGATTATTTCATTTGCCAAGCTTTTTTTTGCAGTACACAACATCATAATATCAGGTCAAGTGGAGTTTAATTGTAATTGCTATCGTCACAGCCAGGTGGTGAGGAATGAAGTGTAGTTCACTCAGAAACACGGTGCTACATTTAACACAAGAAGATGACAACAGTATAAAAGATTATAAACACAATAAATCCAGCACTTGCCCTGCTACACGCCATAATTGTGTTGATTTTGCTTTTGTTTTTGTTCCATTTTGTTATTTCCCCGTATGTCATGTTTTTTGTGTTGTGTTTTCTCATCCAGATGCCCTCACCACTACCCCTATACCCACAACAGCCACTACCACCATGTACACCACCACCTCCCTCCCAGGCATCACCCAAGGTACAGTATGACCTCCGCCCGTCCGCCCGCCAGCCTGTGTGTGTGTGAATGTGTATGTGTGTAAGAGAGAGAGAGAAAGATAGAGAGAGGACTGCCGGTAGCTAGTCGGTCCTGATAAGATTCTCTTGCTGATAATGAGTGGCTGCTGCTCCCATATGTGGCCCAGCTAGTGCCGGCCTCTCACAGGACCGCCAGCGCCACGTGTCACAGCCAACAGCCGGCGCGTTTCTCTCAAATTTTTAGCTCTGCTCGCTCCTTTAGCAGGCTAATCTTATCAGGATCTGGACCTGTATCCCGGCCTGTCTGCAGCCAGGATTACAGAACCCCCCTTTGTGTTTCCTGAAGGGCGACAGTGACGGGCCCATCTGGCCGAGGTTAAACACAGACTCATGTTTCTGTTTCTTTAACAGATGGGTTTTTACGCTCTGCTTTGTACCTTTATTACATCCAATTATAGTGTTACTTTTATGGATAAGCACTGTGTTGTTCATTTTTAGGTACTGGTTTTCATGAGAAGGACTTAATGATGGTAGGGTTGTCCTGATCGGAGTGATAAAAAAAATGATGATTGTTTTTTAAGTAGAACTGGAGTTTAATCAATTTCATCCACACTTTTACACCCTGTTATTGCAGAGCATTCTCAAGTGTGTGGTTATTATTGAGAAGTTCCTAAAGAAATGATTTGGAAAAAATAAATTTACACAATTTTCCACTTACTCTAGATGTGATTAGCATATTTAATTAACATATTTGATGTCTACATTTTGCCTCGGTAGTTTTAAACCAGAACGTTAACGTTTTTTGGTAACATTGTTAACAAACACTAGAAGTCAGTAGTCACCCATATCTTTTCCATACATACATAAATACAAGTTCTCTCAGCCCAATCAAAGGGGATTGTGGTCTTCATTACCCTCACACACAATTGTCGATGTGGTTTAGCACCAAGTATGAATTACAGTGAATTATAAAAACGAACAAAACTTCACCTTGGAGCTGAACGCAGCAGGCAGCAGACTCCAGGTCGTCTAAAGCTAAGAAAAGAAATTGTGCCAAATTCTGACTCCTCTTCGAGTGCAAACGATTATGGACACCACAAATTCTTTTCTATTAATAACTGTTTTGCTAAAATTTTCTATGTGTTTAGACATAGAAACAACAGAAATTTTCAACGTAATCTGTATCATAATCTAGAGCCCATAAGGCCTGTGTGCATGTGCAGGAATGTTGGATATTGAGGGGGAGTCAGACTTCAGCACAACACCTGTTGTGTAAAGGGTCTGCCCACTGCATTCAGCTACATGGTGAAGTTTTGTTCATTTCTATAGTCCACAGTAAGTCATATTGTGGCCTAAACCACATTATTAAGTATGTGTGACCTTAATGAAGCCCTTGATGTGGTTTAAATGGGTTGAGAGAAGTTTTAAGAATGTATTTATGAAAAAGGTTTGAGTGGCTATTGACTTCCAGTGTTTGTTAGCAACATTAGCCTTGTAGCTCCAGCTCTAAACTAAAGAATCAACTGTCACATTTTCCTTTTTTTTTTTTTGCAAAGTCATTCCTTTAAGAAAGTAAGCCACAGAAAGGGCAAACTAATGAATGGTATTACTGTCATATTCAATGCATACTACAGATGAAATGTACTCAGAGTAATAGGGCGTGGCCACAGACTGAAAATACAAACTCAGTACAAGATAAGGCTTTAGGAGTTCATCACAATTAGCCTAGCTTTCAGCCGCTGTTGGTTTAACTTCACTCACTCAATGGCTGAGTTTCCATATTCTGGAGCCGCCGTCTGTCTCCCTGCCTCTTAGCGGAGGAGCATCAGAGTCAGTAATATGAATGGTCGTGCAAATCTCCTACGCCACCGCTCCCTGGCCCTCATTCTCAAAGACCACAGCAAGCTAATAACGCTTTCCATAATAGAAAGCAAATTCAATGTTGCTGCTGGCTTCAAACTCTAAAATAGCCACTGATGTGATTTGCTGCCTCTAACAATTATGGTTTTGAAGCGAGCAAGTGAGATCATTTTGCTCTCCATTTTCAGTGTTCCTCAAGGCAGTTCTTTATATTACAGAGAAACACATCTCAGTATGGCAGAGATGCGGCGTGCACTATTTTTATTTATTTCTTTATTTTTTTGTGTACTTTTGAGCCGAAGCAGAACAGCCCTCAGCTACGAGTGCAATCAAAGTCGTGGACTGACTTGTGCGAATGATTTGAGTGAATTTGTGAAAAGCGGAAAAAATGAATCAGGCTTGATTAGGCTGCGTGATTGCATTTAATGAAAGTACGGTGACGCATGCTGATTAGACACGCCCTCTCCGCGTCATTAACCAAAGCACCCCCAGCTACTGGCTGATGGTACTACCTACTATATACGTTCTTCTAGTCCAAAAATATGCTTTGCAAGCGTCGTCTGCATCAGTGGCACCTGGTACTTTACGTATTACTGAATAATGATCGTATCCTGACGTTTGTTATTTGTATAGAATTACGCAGGTCAGGCCATTGCCTAGTATAGAGTTTCCCCAGCCCTAGTGCTGCAAATCCATAAGTCTTCCGTATGAGCCTCCATTCGTGCTTTTACCTTTAAGTGCATCCTATTATACCTGTGTATTTCGCTACGGAGCGCCAGCCCCTGCTCGCCGGCAGCTGATTTCATTTATCTGTTCAGGGGATGCGTATAGTTCAGGAACACCAAATGAATTTATCAGTCCAGCGAGGTGGAGGCCACTTAGAAATTTAATACATTTTTGATAAACTGGCTATGAGAGAAATGGAATGGGCTATACTGCACTTTTAAAAAATCTATTAAAGCCCTAACACAAGGCTAAAGTGCTCTGCAGCTTCAGGAGGTGACATTTAGAGATGACTAAATTGCCATTTACACCAAAAAATAAATGGCTAAATGGAGGGGCTTTGCTGGGCACCATACGTAACAGGGACCAATACCATTCATTGCTATTTGTGTTGCCCGTTTTCCCCCCCTGCTAACCACAGCTCAGAAACGGATGTTTATTGATTTTTTTTGCGAGTGCTTTTTTTTCCCCTCCCCAAAAAGCTTTTGCAAATTTGATCAAAGATGCTGCATTTCTTTTACTACAGCTTTGTCTCCATTCACTGTATCATCTGCCCAACTTCTCTGTGTGTTTCTTACTCACCCGTCTCTCGGTCTCATTCTTCTGCTCCTCTCTTCCTCGTTCTTTCAGTACTCCATCTTCCACTCCATCTCTAACTTTCTCTCTGCTGCTCCCTTTGCCTTTGCTGTCTCTTTCTGCCTCTCTCTCTTTCTCTCTCTCTCTCACTTGCTCTTTATCTCCTTCTGTACTGCATTCTCTATCTGTTCTGTCATTCCCTCTCCTTCCCTGGCCTTGCTCTCTCCTCTTTCTTTTTCTCTTTTCTCTTTTTTTTTGTCATATATCTGGCTTTCAGTTCAGCTGAAAAGGGTTTGACTTCAAACTCAGACTCAAACTTAGTTTGGTTCACAGATGTCCCTGTTTTCTCTTGCTCAGGCCATTGTGTGTTCTCTGTAGCCCAGGCCGCTTTGTTATCACTGCCCATAATTTCTAGTTCAGAACCACTATGGAGAGCGCAACAAGGGTGAAATGCATGTACACAGTGGTGCTCCTTCATCTCTGTTCATCTGTTGCTCTGCTTTTTTTTCCCCCCTAGCTCTTTTTCTCACAAGTACAGTGGCTGACTGATGACCTTGCCAATCATGCTGTCAGAAAAGATGACAAGTGTATTCCTAAACCTACTCCTAAAAAAGCAATTTGCTGGATCACTAAAGTGGTTTGCAGAAAACAAAACAAAAAAAAAAAATGACAACAGCGACAACAGCGGCGGCGACCAAAGCAATGGTTACCCTGAAATGCACAACAGAAATTTCATTAATGAAATGTTCTCTCCTGCTAATAAAACACCGCTGAATTAAATTCGCTGTGCCACTGTTTTTAATTGATGAAAGGCCATAAACAGAGTTGGCAACCAATTCATTTCAGCCTTCAAAAAGGAAAAAAAAAAGAACGGAAGAAGAAGAAGGTGGGGGGGGGGATTGCCTTCGTCAGGACTTAAATGGCATAAACACCATCTGGTAAACTGATTTTGGAATTGAACAAATGAATTGCCCTGCACAGGCACTTGCAAGCAAGAAAGAAGTCCATTTCTCTCGCTGTCTGATCCCTACTGCGGAGTAGCGTGCGGACAGAGAAGGATGGCTCGCTGGCAAAGAAAAGGCTAATTCACTAAAGGTCAATTGCATTACCACTGGGAAAACAACAACTGCAGTGGCGTGATACACAGCGCACTGAGAGCATCCCCTGGAATTTATTGCACTTAGCATCATGCAAACACAGAAATGCTTCCAATAAGTCTTTTTTATTTAGAGCTGTATTGTTATGGGGGGCCATGATTGCGCACTGTGATGGCTAAGCGGAGATGGCGGTCATAAAGGCGGGCCGCTAGTAATCAGCAAACCTAGCCTGAATCAGCCAAGCGTCGTAGGGCTGAGTAAACACACATACACACACAAAGGCACGTTTAACGGGAAGGTGCATCCAGCCTTGCTAAAGTGCACACTAGTGCTCAAACAAACATGCCTCCAAACTGTCACGTGATCTGTAGGGGGATTGCTTGTGGATTTTCACTGGGTTTACTTACAGTGCAGCTGTGAATGTGCTGTAATCTGCACTTCATTAAAAGCGCTGGGCAGGGTTGCCCCATTATGAGGGATGTTTCATGCCCCTGGACAGTGACTGCCGGTGAGGCACAGAGCAAATATAGGCATATCCGGTATGCCATGCCTGTTTCAGTACTGGTTGATTCAAACCAACACGCCTCAGCCACTGCTTTTGCTCACTGCCAGAATCAATACGCCAGGATGATTTATCAGTGAAGCCACATTATAGTAGACTAGTGGAGAAACTCTTTTAATTAAGTTGTTGTGGCAAAGCCAGCTTTCTGTTACTCTGCTGACTTATTATTTCATCATTTAGCTG